TAGAGGAAGAGAGAGAGAAAGATAGACAGAGAGTGAGAGAGAATTATCAAGTAGAAATAGCAAGATGCTCCAGAAGAATAGGTATCTTATCTTTGAGAATAGGCATAAAAGGGGAAGCTACTTCTCCTTGTGAGATAGTTTTCTCTCCCTTCCCAGTCTTGGACAGTAGACATTTAATATTTTCAAGAGAGTCACCAGGTTCCCTTATATTCTGTGAACCACTTTGCTATGCTGGCTATGCTGACAACATTAGCCATCTCGCAAAGACCCAGAAGATTCCCTTTCCCCAACATGCACACTGCCTCTCTCCATCCTTGATTTGCTAAACCCAGCATAATGCTAAATGTGGGACAGAGATCAAAATTCTACCCTGGAGAACCCTCCATGTTTCTAGTCCTCAGAAGGACCCTCACCAGGAGTATGAAGAAGACAAAGAAGACATAGGTCACAAAGTAGACTGGACCCAGGATGCGGTTGGCATTGTTGATAGCATTGTAGTCAAAGTCCCCAAGGATTATCCGGAACTGAGTAAAACTGAGAGACAAGATCTAGGCTTTATCCAGAGCCAAACCAAACCTTGGCCCCATTTCACATTCCTAACCCACCTTTCTAACTTCAAACAGGCCCCTCGTTTCACTTCTGACCCAATCTGGTGGCAATAGAGCAGGTAAGAAAATTATTTGAGCCCATACCTGAGCTTCCTGAGACTCTCACCCAGATACTTTTAAGTTCAGACATGCCCATGCACCTCCCACCTCCATCATCCTCAAGATTACACAAATCCTAGGAAGGTAAGTGGGGGGGGGGCAGGGCACACACATGCACTTGATAAATGTGCTAAAGTTTTCCACTTGCGTCCCGAAAAGCAGATAGCCAAGCTGGGCGTAAGCAAAGAAAACAATGAAGAACATGATGGCAAAGCCCAGTATATCCTTGGCACAGCGGGCCAGTGTGGAGGAGAGCTGGGTCATGGTTTTGTTGAAGCTGATGTATTTGAATATCTGTAACATAAACCAAATGGTGAAAGAGAAAATGTTAAAAGCACTGAGAAATCCACCCCAGGGACATATCTTGGTCACAGGAGGTGTCAGACAGGAAAACAACCCAGGTATTAAGGGAGAGACAATGAGTATCCCAAGGCAGAACTGTCAGGGGGAGTCCCAGGTACCTTGATCCAGGCAAAGAAGAGGTTGACAGCATTCATGTTGTTGTACTGAGTCTGCCAAAAGGCTAGGAACTCAAAGTCAGCATATGTGTTTGGCTTCTCCAAGAGCTTACCCATTAGCTGATTTACCTCCAGGGTTCGGAATATGTGGAAGCCCACCGCCACAATGGAGAGCTGTCAACAAGAGAGCATGGGGCTGTTAGAGATATCAGTGGGATCTCAATGGAAGCTAAAACATGAGATCCTAGGGGAGAGCTGGAGCTGGTAAGGCAGGTGGACAGAAGCTTCCTGCCCTGCTAAGGGGTTCACTAGTTCAGGTTCCAGTGGAATGACAGAGGATGACTGGGGAGTCGCTGAAGTGTTCTAAAGCCCATAAAAAGGTTCTGGGACCAGTGACAGATATATAGGTTGGAAAGAGCCATAGGGAACTGGAGCCAAGAAGCATGACTCTCCCCACCCCTACCACTTCTATACTTAGGCCAACAAATCAATGTGTCTTCTTAATAGGGAGGATATGAAGATGAAGTGGCAGAATGCTTGAAAAAAGAGAACAAAAAGGCAGGCCACTTTACGTTCAAGATCATAATGACAAGAGACAGAAGAGAGAAGAATATCAAATGCCTATAAAGTAGGGCACGGATCACAGGTAAGAGATGAGCAAGATGGGGTTTCCTAAGGGCTGAGCCCAGAAAGCATCAGCCTCCTGCTCAGGCAGCAATGACTCAGTGATGTGATTAAAATTAAGGAGGGTTTATAGCTCTGAAAAGAAGTTGGTGTCCCTATCCTCTATGTCCCAAATCCAGGGCATCTGTCTCTCACCAAGATGACCAGCAGATCCAGTATGTTCCAGATACTAGTGAGGTAGTAAAGCTGGTGCAGGTGGAGCTCCAGGATCTCCTCCACCCCATAGTAGAAGATGAAGATGCAGAAAACAACCTCACAGCCAATGATGAAGAAGTCCCAGTTGCTGACATAGCGGATAAGATTCACTGTTCGGATTTGCCAGGATGGGATGGCACCTCCTGTAGCTGGGAACTCCACCACTAGTCTGTAGGAAGGAAAGAGGCTAATGGGGCCTGGGATGGTAGCTCCCACTTCCTCTCTTTCCCAGGTCCACCACATAGTACAAGTTTAGGGAAGGACCTTTCAAACACAATAGACAGTGACCAGGAACCACAGCTGCAGGCATACAGTAGGGAAAAGGGACCTACCTCAGGACACAGAAAAGATTAATGTTGGCATTGTAGACTGAGAAGTCAATGAAGACCACACGAGTGCCTCTGTCTAGCCAAATCCCCTTCTGAAGGTCTCTGAGTGCCTCTACACTGGCCTGTTGGGATCCTGGCAAGTCCAGGTAGTAGCCGCCTCCACTGTAGCTTGTGAGCCTGCCCCAGTGGGAGGATCCCCCCAGTTCATCCTGTGAGTGGTATGTCCACCTGTCACAGAAAAATCCATCTGAGCAAGAGAGGTCTGAACCAGTCCAAAGCCTATCTCCCAAGATGATGGCAACACTTTATGTACTCTGGGACATTACAATATTGCGTATATCATGTTCCTATATGTACAAATGGTGTTCATATATGTGGTCATACTAGATATGTATTACATGAGATATGTATATAATACAAATATATATCACATATTTAATATATTTTATTTTGCTTGATACTAACAACTGTCTGAAAATACCATATACATTTTGCAGAAGAGAAAACAGACTCGGTGGTTTCCAAGATAAGAATCTATGCAGTAGTAGTACTGAAACTCAAATATACTTTTTATCTTTCACTATATTGCTCAAAGCTAAGGATAACAGAGCCAAGACCCACTTTTGGCCCAAACTCAGGTAGTCCCTATAAGGGAGGCATTTGAACCATAATTCCAGAAAAGATTATTTGACTGTTGTTGCTGTGAAACTGGCTGCTTGATCCCACAATTCTCTGTTGTAGTTCCCTGGCCAAATTTTTATCCTGGACCCCTGCTTCCTCCCCCTTCTTTCCTGTTCTGTCCCCTCTTTTCCCTTTCTTCCCTCATCAACCCTCAACCTTTGACTGCTCCCTCCATCAGTCCCAAGATCCAGATTTCCCAACCATGGCTCATGTGACAAGGTCAGTTTCATTTATTCATTACATCCACAGCGGGCCCTGGACAAACTGAACCATGAGATACTTTCTCGGAGGACTTCATGGAAGGCAGTGGGATAGTGATCTCTGTGTGGGAACAGGTCCAGAGTCTAGGGATCTGCCTTTTCTGTTCCTGAGTGGCACACACCCAAGTCTGCACAGAATCATGCTTGGGACTCAGGGAGATGCCCTCTCAAATGCCCACCTATAAGACTTTTTATGCTTCACTGGAAGTGGTTCCCCCAATCTTGGGATGCTGTCAGGCTCAGAGGGGCAGCCCTGTGTCTTTGATGGGAAACACACTCACGCTGTGCCATTGAGGGGCCCAAAGGGGAGTTGTTCTTCTATGTCTGGAGAGTAGACATTGTAGCAACTCAAAATTTCTTCACGGAAGTCCTCGTGGACCACACAGGAGTCATTGCGGACCCGCAACTGCCGCAGTCTTGGGACACCCAGCAGCAGATTCTCATAGTAGATGAAGGAGTGGGAGCCATGGCCCAGGCTCTGGTTGTTGTAAAACTTGGTCCAGTACAAACTGTTCAGAAGTGGGCCCTGGGCAAACTGGATCACAGTCTAGGTTGGTTCTGACCCAGGCTCCTCTGGACCCCTACTCTTACAATGACATTTACCCTTACTCTGTGACTCCAAACTTATGTCCAGCCTTTTTTTGTTCAACTTCTCTACTGACCTTGTGAACCACTACCTGCCACATTTAAAATCTACTTTGTGGCTGGTCATAGTCGCACACATCTGTAGACCCAGCACTCAAGAGGCTGAGAGGCAAGAGCATTACTATGAGTTCAAGGCCAGCCTGAACTCCATAGAGATCCTGTTTCAACAAACAAACACCACACCAGATCAAAATGAAACAAAACAAAAGGGAATTAAAAGCTAATTTGAAGTTCAGTTTACCTTTTGATTTCCAGTTCTAACATAATTTCTGGTTTGATTCACAGATCAACAGCCTGATCCCTCATTTACCTCCACCTGAACTCTAGCGCAATGCATTAATTCAGCTTGATAATTTGACTTGGCCTTAGCTCTGACCTGTGGTTTCAGGCCATTCATAAAGGGGGAGAGGTCTCATACTCACGTCCCAGAAGTCTGTCATGCTGCCGATGGTCTGAAAGGAGACTCCAGAGACTGATGGGGTATGTAAGAAGAGCTCAGACATCACTTTGGTGTAGTAGTAGGCGCTGGAGCTTGTCATTCCATAGGTTACTGGAAAACAACCCAAGAGGTTGTATCCTGCTCACAGTTTCCATTTCCATTCCCCAGAAGTATTAGGAAAGCACACTGCTCGGGAATCGGAAATGCTACCTAGATGGGAAGCCATCAGATCTACTCCTTAGAGTTGGCTGGGGAGGCTGATTGTGGTTCTGGGTAAACTGAGGAACGTATTAAGGAAGGGTGTGGCTGCAAGAGATTATATGCTATTCAGTAATTGTGTCTTAACACTGTCATTCTTGAATTTCACTTTTCTTTTGTGAATCAGTTAAGTTTTCTAACTCTTTCTCTTCTACACATTTTTGTAGTATTAGTATGTTCATTTCTAATAAAAATTATCCTCTCATTTCAGCGATACAGGTTCATGGTACACATTTTTAGAACCACTGTTGCAATCAATCAATTCCATTTGTCCTCCATAAAGATGTCAAGCACTGGGCTTCCTGGTGTCTGTTTCAGTGATTCTTAAAATTGAGAGTAAGGAAGATCCCTCAACTGTTTGAGGGATCTCAAAACTTCCCTGAGGTTGGGAAAATCTTACAAATTACAAGACCACTTAGGAGAATCTATAACCCACATGAACCACTGAGAGTTGCTTAAAAGGAATACATCGCTCAGTACATTGTGATAGAAGATTGAAAACATGTTGGTCTTTTCCTCTTTCTCCCTCAATTCCCCATTAGTAACTATCTCTGCTTTACTACCATGAAGAACCATCTTGTCTAACTGGTGCACTTTGCTCAGAGATTTCTAAATCTGAAAAGGACTCAGCATATCTACCTCACCATTGCCTTTCTTTACATAAGGGAAAGAAATAACCAGAGTAGCCACCTCTCCTGTGCCTTGTGCTAAGTACTTGGTGTGCTTTTTCATTTAATGCAATAATAACCCCATGTGGTGATGCTGTTTTTGTCCTTATTTTGCAGGTTCAGCGAGCTTATGTCATTTATCCAAGATAGATAATTAATGGATTCACCTGCGTCTGCGTGTCATCGTACATCAGTTTTGTACTGTTCTAAGGACAGAACCACATGCAAGGGAGAGAAGCATCCCATCCATGTGACCTTCAGTCTTTTTTTGTTTAGTTTTGACTACCTTCTTGAAGTACTCATTTCAGGAGATATTCAGAGACTGAACACGGACAATATGAGAATGCTCTGAAGGGCTAAAACTAAGGTGCCACAAAATGCAGCCTATCCTTGCCATTAGGGTTTTCCATCATGCAGTGGAAAATATCACAAACACCCATTTTCCCCTGGGAGTGTCAGCAAAGAAACAGGGATGGGAAGATAGCTTAGTAGAATAAGCACTTGCCTGGCAAGTGCAAGGGCCTGAGTTCAAACCCTGGTACTGGAAAGAGAGAGAGAGAGAGAGAGAGA